GAAGAACGGCAACTTATATTCGTTGTTCTCAAAAACGTTCAATAACGTTCTTGTAACCTCAGTGTTTAAGTTCGTAAAAGTAGTGCTTCCATGCGAATTAAACATGAGCCAGAGCGTTTGTGAACGCGCAGGTTCACATGGTTCAAAATGTAGACGCGGTAATATACTAGATATACAGGTGATGACATTTCCTATGGCTAAACACTTATAGACTTTCTCGTCACTTGAATGCTCTAATTGGCATAAAATGGCAAAATGAAGGTGCAATCTGCAAATAATGCTGAAGCAGGACAAATAGCATGCCTTTTTTTATGACCTCGTCACGTGCTTTCACCGTTCAATAACTAAGACGAGGAATTTTGCAGCAGAAATACGCGAATTGTTTGCAAGCGGGGGCGTCCGCATGTTAAAGGACACAAGAAACCATGTTAGTCTTGTTGTGCCTAACCCAAGCAAACAAAAATCTGGACGCCGAATATTTGTTCATAAGCCTTGCCACAAAGCCACAGCGTGAATCAGGATTCAAATTGCGAAGCATTTCTTAGCGAACTTCGGGGACATTGAGCGTATCTATCTATCTATCTATATCTTATCTATCTATCTATCTATCTATCTATCTATCTATCTATCTATCTATCTATCTATCTATCTATCTATCTATCTATCTATCTATCTATCTATCTATCTATCTATCTATCTATCTCTCTATCTATCTATCTATCTATCTAGCCGTCTACCACTTTTAGCTCTCCTGGCTGTTTAGGTAATGGTATCAATATTAAACTTGGTATGGCATAACATGACTGTATGACGAGCGCAACTGACTAGTCATAACATGAAAACCATGATATGTATGTGATGAATATCTTGATTTACATTTCATGGTCCTGCTGCTCTTACCCCCGAATGCAGAGATGTTACTTGGCTCACGACTTCAACTTAACTTGAGCAAGTCAGCATGAAGCAAGCAGCGGACTTGAAAACGCCCAAGCCAGCCTTCACGTTTCATAGATGCACAGGCTGTCTTGCTTGGTCAAGTCAAGAACGAGCATGAAAGCAGAAACACGCTGCTCGCCTGCTAACGAGGGTAATAATGAAGTTGTTCGCGTAAGCCATGCATTACAGCAAAAAATACCATACGTTCTAAACTGTAAAAACAAAGGGCCACAAGCATATTCTTGCCACTTTACGGCTGACGAGCGGCACGTGGTGCCTGCCGCCACAGCGATGCGCAGTGTTGCTTCTGTAAAGCGTTCGTTGCCCGCTGGTTTTAGTGGCCACCCAAATGCAGCGCGTTTCTCCACGGTTGCTTGTTTGGAGGCGAAACAAACATCGCTTTGGGTTCTTTCGTCGTTTTTTTTTTTTTCAATCGAACGCCACGGCAACTATTTGTGCTGACTTGGCTCATGATGTGATGCAATTTTCACGGTATTTGCCTTTCTGTTCACCTGTGTGCATGCTTGTAGTGTGCTAGGTCGCTGTTATATATGAAAAAAAAACAAGTTCTGGAAACAAATGTGATTCGTATCCTTTTGTTGAGCTTGGTAAACAAGAGAAAAAGCGGGGGTCAGGACATTGCCCTCAGCAGAATTTTGTCTTGCGGGGTGCAGCAGTGTCTCGCTGCATGATGGTAAAGGTGATAAAAAAAAATCGTGATAGGGGCACCTCTTTTTTATGTTTGTAGAGTTTTACGTAGCGTTGTGCTACAAACGATGCCTTTCTGAGCAAGAAACAGCACCCTAGACGGGAAGAAAGGATAGACGAGACACACAGACACAGCGCCGAGTCAATTTTGTACCGAAAAAAGACGGAAAATGTCGTCGTGTTTTAGAAAAAAAACAGAAATAGCCTTTGCGGTTACGAAACACTTCGGCATCGTCACTATACCGGGGCTTTTATTACGCACGTGTGTGTAGTCGACACAACCTGTAACACCAGGGAACTCAGCAACTTCATAAAAGTCCCGCACAACTACAAAAAGTGCTGCCGGTTGCGGAAAGCGCACCAGCATCGCGTACAGGCGCTTTGCGACGAGTAGCGTAACTTTTCCTACTGCACGGCAAACTGTCGACTACGGAATGCGGACGAGATTCCCGGTGACTGTTTGGAATGTGCCAGCGCCGTAAAACCTGAGAGCCATCAGTAGCTGTAACACTTGAGGCACAGGGTGTCTTCGGTTGTCCTCACTTTCACGGAGCAGCAACACATCCAGCAGCTGCCGCACGGCGTACTTCGTGAATCTGTATCGAGCGTGGAATGGTTCCTCGTCGTACAACTCCATCGGATTTCCTCGGTCACGTAAAGCGGGTCCAAGAATCTTTGGCAGGCAGTGCGCTACAGAAAATTCTACGCTTACGGCGAGGTAAGCAAACTCAAAAGCAGCCACCCTCCGCGCGACGCTCATTCGAGAGGTGGCCACGTTGGAATAACGTGTAAAGTCACTTTCAAGCTAGCCCCGCAGCTGGCTTGAAACTTGTCCTGACTTCGACCGAGCCAAGTAGCCTTCAAGTCGTCCGCAGGTTCGAGAACGATTTATGGTGACCGGCAAGACTGTCTTGAGTCATGAACGAGTCAAGTACGAGTTAAGCAACATCTCGGTATTCGGGGGTTACGGTGTCTTCGTTCACATGAAATGTTGCAAAATTGGTATGGTATGACATGATTGCATGGCGAACACAATCGACAGACCCTAACATGAAAATCATGACATGTGTGCCAGGTAATAGCATGACTACATGACTACACGCTCATGATGCGCTCGGAGTCATTTAGTTGGCGTCATATATACGAAATTTGGTACTACGGTGCGTGAATGGACGACATAAGTGAATGACACATTCGAACATGATAATTACGACATGGGTGCCGTTTTGCTAGATTCGCATATGCCGAATTCGGTATTACGTGACGTCAATGAAGACGAAGGTATCAGACTGGTACAAGCGTGATAATGATGAGATGCGTGTCATGTGACAACATGACTGTATGCCACAGTCAAGGCGCCAATACACTTCGATGTCACGCGGCGCACGTGTGCGCCGGCGTTCGTTTCGTCGCGTCACGTCGGCGTTTCCACACCAGTCGCCGGTCCTGCCATATACTCGCAGACATAGAGTTTCCTAATATACACTAGAGGGAACTCTGGTGCTAGTGTCCATGGAGGCTGCCACGCACGGTGCTTCAGCAAGCATGAGAATGATGGGTAGTACACATATTTGTCTAATCTTTGTACTTCTGGCCTCCTTTTGGCTTCGTGTGTGTTCGTATGGCTTGGAGGTGTTTTAACACAAAACGACAAGCAGAAAATGTTCAGCGGTTGCAACCCACCACCTTATTCGTTTAGACTTACCTTTCCAAATCGGTCACGAAGTTCAAAAGGGTTGAATCTTTCTTTAAAAACAAAACCGAAACACAAAAATAAATGCAGCCGCAAGTATGATTCGCCACCGGCAAGTACGAAGACTAGGCAAAGGTGCGTACTACCCATCATTCCCATGGTGGCTGAACGATCGAAGTGACAGAGTCTCCTCTGGTTAATTTTAGTAAACTCTATGCTCGCAGGCACGCGTCACTCTGCGTTGCTTTGACATTTGCGCGTTTCAGCGCGTCCAGCGTCCTTCCGTCACGAAAAGAGGCAGCGCTGCCTCGGTAACGTAGCGTATGTGAAATGCAGCATGTCGCATTTCGCGCTGGTTGGCGTCGGGCTGCGCCGACGGATGCTGGTCGCGCCGGTCGCGCATCGCGTCAGATTATAGAGTTCTCACGTTTTGCTAACGTACAGCGTCGCTGAGCCCAGCGTGCGCGTGCGTCAACGGTACGTTGGAGTATATTGGGCCTTTCATGATTCACTCAGGCCGTTTCACTAGCTCCACATATACCCAAATTGAGTGTTACGTGACGTCAATGAATTACAAAGGTATAGGACTGATGCAAACATGATAATCATGACAACGTACAACGTTCATAGAGTGCTCGCGGCCGTTTTGGTAGGGTCACATACTGAATTTGGCATCACGTGACATAATAGATGACGAAGGTAAACGACACATACAAACATGATACTCATCACACGGAAGTCGTGTACGGCAGAATTTAGCTCCGCTTCGTGACGTTGTGGTGATTTTAAAGTGACACATCAACCTTCCTTAATCGTGCTTCGCATATCATCGATTCCCGCTGTACGTGGGATCTGCCAACTTTTTTTTTCAAGTGGGCGGGAACCATGTGAGTGAAGAACACTCGAGCATATAAATAGCAGGAAAAGAACTTAAGTTTAGTCTGTGGTTCTTACAGGTAAATAGCGTTCATTTTAACCATTCTTGTGTTGTCTAGCTTACAAAATAATTTTACAGCATTTTACGAGCAGCTTTCTTTTTGCATTAATACTAGGTGATGTTCCTACTTTGCATTTAGCACACGAAATAGAAAGAGATGGTAACACTACTCTGTCATTCAAAAATGGTCCTCGTTACAATTAGGTGATGCTTGTGTCATTGCACAGATCTTTGCAAGCGATTTTATCCTCTACGCTATTCAGCAAGTTGTTAAAGGATATATTTATTATCACGAAGCGGAGCGATTACGACTAACCTAATGCGCAAACAAAATGTATTGAACTTGGTTCTCTCGCGCAAATAAAAGGCTGCTTTCGCCCAATCTCACGTTCACAGGAAATTCTAGCTGTACTTAATATTTGCAAAACAACTTTTTTGATCATAAGAAGTCTTGTTTCTAAGATTTCCGCCGCAACGGCTCCGCGAATAAACATGAGTGAACGTGAACAAGTGTTTTTTCGGAAACGTGCTATTCCTGATATTGAAGGATAACATGTACCATTCCCCAGCAAAAAGAAAAGCAACCGCCAACGTTCAGAGGCAAAGTTCGTAAAATAGGTATTGACCAACTCTTTAACATTGTCAGAATTCACATAAGTTTTTGAGGCGTTCCTGCATACGTTTGCACCTATTTAGGTCGCTGTTTCTGCGCTGCTTTCTGCATACCTTAAGATTTGTTTTCTCTTTCACGGCCGTGACTTTACTTGCGTACTGTGGAGTGGTCAAAATGTGAGTTGCATCTGCGTGGTCTATTTGGAAGAAGAGCTCATCTAAAATAAAACATGAAAAAAATGTCAGCAACAAGAATGAGTGACATGAAAAAACTTATAAAGTGTATAAATACAGTATCACTGAGAACATCACGCTAAAATGAGCCCATAATATGAAGTAAATGATATTATTATTGCCTTCTCAATACTCCAACACACAGGCTACATTTGGCGTTGTTGGACCAGAGGCGTGAGTCAAAATAGTGAGCATTGATCCTCTGAGAAGTACTACGCCTTGGCGTAGTGTATACATTATATGTATTCATGTTTGAATGTACTGAAGTTATTCAATATGGCCGGCATCTGCAAACATTATATGCATGTCGATAAGAATTTTAATTATTTATGCACCCTCTTGTACAGTTTGAGCTTTTCTCAACATACACTCATAGAAGTACTGCAGCCTTACACTGGGTTCGATACCAAATGGGAACGCAAATATAATGAAAATTGAAGCCATAGATTGAGAGAGTCAATATTTTGATAGTGAAGTCTTGATCACCTTCAATGGTAAAAGAACCACTGGGATAAGGATATAGCTTATGGCGATTGCTTAAGAACCTCTTACGAAAGGCAGCAGTGAGAATAGGCGTCACAATATTGAGCAATACACTGGTAATAGTAAAGCTGTGTCCCAAGTTTATGCAGAATAATAGATAATATAACTTTTGAGCAAACAGACACAACTCTTGTAAGAGTAGGCATGTGAAACGGCAAGTGTCCAGGCAGCAACTTTCACAGCGAAAGCTGTAATGAGATCACAACTGAGATCACAACTGGGCTCACGCGTGGCGCTGAACTTGTCCGCCGCCACCACCGCTGCCGCCACCGGTGTCCCTAACCTACATTGTACGAAATTAGAAGAAAAAAACCTAGAGCCAATAGGACCGTGGGACTCGAACCGGGTCCATTGAGTCCAAGCCCAGTATATATCACTGAGTCACGCCGGTGCTTGGTACTTGTTGGCAATTTTGCCTAGGGCAGGCTTGATGTCCTGAAAGCAATCACGTAAATACGATATATAAAGCGTTTTAAAACAGCGAAAGAGCAACCAGTCGTCGCACAATGCGAATAGGGGAACGAGTGAGTCGGTTAATACTTCAACCCATTACAAAAGCTTGTTCTTGTTCAGCTAATGACTGTGGCACATACCCATTTCAGGCATAATTCCTTATCTTCGTCAGCCACTGGCACATAATTTTTTGCAAGTGCTTAGCGGATACCACACTTCTCACAAGAATGATGAAAAATTTAGAATAGTGGATTCCCGCCTACTACCGTAAAATCATTATTAATAATGTAATAGTGTTAACAAGCAAGCGAGCTCGCATCAGTTATACAATGAATGTTTTGAAAAGGGTCTGAAAGGCCATTCTGCCAGCCAGAATTTCCCGAGGTACATTATTGCGTGGCTTGGAGAATTTTCGAAGACAAGAGAATTTAATTGCTTTAAGAATGGCTGCGCTTCGTCAAAATTTAAACGAACTCGCGAAGTTTGCCGAGGGGCTGTCTTGTCTCCAATATTATTCAACATCTTAATGTGTTCAATTCCTTGAAGCCCGGATGTGCCAGGATGTGCCAGGATGTGCAGCCAGGATGTGCCTGCCACAAGCTTCAGTTGTGACCACGCTACTCCAGAGAGCTAAGAACTTATGCTGCAATGACACGGAGTGAAAGAAAGAAGAGGCCCGTGTGATTGCAAACCTCAGAAAAAACGGATACCCAAAAAACTTCATTCGAGCCACCACTCGCCACGCAGAGCCACAGAGGATACGAAAACCCTAATCAACACTCATTGGCAGCCCTTCTCCCCCCCCCCCCCCCCCCCCCCCCGAAACGCCTACCGGTCCAATACGTTAAGGGCACCAGCGACATGTTGGCGCGGATCTTCACGAAGGTGGTGGTGGAAGTGGTAGTGGTCAGAAGAGAAGAAAGGCACCTAACTTCTGCAGCCAGGTCGGGAGCACGGCGCAATGCCTACAAGAAGGAAGAAATTCGCATCGCGTACGTGCCTTCGTGTTCGCTGGGCCACCTCCTCCTCCGCCCGAAAGACCGGCCAACAATGTACAGGACACACGGTGTCGTTTACAAAATTCCGTGCGCCGAGTGCCCCTCTTCATATATCGGTGAGACGAAAATCTACCAAACATGGTCAAACATGCTTCCAAACAAAATCACCAAACAATCTACCAAATCACCAAACACAATCACAAATCACCAAACAATCTACCAAACAAAGTCACCAAACATGCTGAGACGTTCGATCACTGAATAAATTTCGAATCGACGATCATCTTTGAAAGTGAGCCGAACTGGAGGAGAAGGTTATTTGTCGAGTCGTCGCACATACAGAGGTCAGCCCATAACATCAACCGCTCTCGGTGTATACACATGAACTGCGCTCCACGGGAAAACGAGAGAGAGAGAGAGAGAGAGAGGGCAGGGGTCATTATCCACCCCGCGAGCGCTTTGAAGACGCCGCTACTACGTAGCTCCACAGTCACCCCTGAGAAAGGAACGAAGTCGGTTTTGAAACGTCGAGTTTCTTCAAAACTTTTGGTTGGAGTCTAAATCATCTCCCAGTTTCATACCCAACCGGACAGACTTCTGTCGAATGTTTACATTCAAGGATGTGCATGTATACGTGTACGCTGATGACATTGCCTTCTTTGCAGCAGACATTGACATTAATTCCTTATATAAAAAACTGCAGAGGGATATGAATTCGCTAGAGGGGTGCCTAGAGATAATATATATGTGTCACTAAAAGTAAACAAAAGTGCAATATTTAGATTTCCGTTAACATACCCTCCTCAAATATCATTGTTTTAAAGAAGGGCCATTCCGCAAGTTGACTCAGCTAAGTATTTGGGAATGATTATAATGATTAATTAGACTGGACTTCTCACATAAAGAGTATGGCATGTAAGGCACAACATGCCTTAGACATGAATCGCAGATTGACCAGCAGACGCTATGATTTACGCTGGGATGCTCTGGTTATGATTTACAAAATGTATATGCGTCCCATACTAGAATTTGGATGTGTGTTATTCTCAGGAGGTCCTGCTTATAAACTTAAGCCTTGATTGTTTTAGAGCGTGAGGCCCTGCAACTATGCCTTGGGCTCCCGAAGTTTGTTGCGATCAATGTTTCCATCAGAGGCACACATACCAACTTTGACTTGTCGATTCCGTATCCTGACGGTTCAGGCTTATCTAAAATACAGCTAATCGTTAAGACACTCAGAATATGTATTCATCAACGACCCGGACTTCTTTCTTTTTGCTCATTGGCCACGTTTTCACACACCACAAATTAAATTTGTTGATTGATTTGTGGGGCTTAACGTCCCAAAACCACCATATGATTATGAGAGACGCCGTAGTAGACGGCTCTGGAAATTTCGACGACCTGGGGTTCTTTAACGTGAAAATTAAATTTGTTCAGAAGCAACTACACAGAATAAACGTGATAATTCGAGATATACCAGCAGCACACTTGCCAAGTCAAATTCTCATCATAAAATGTGATGATATGTTTTCCTATAGGCCTAAATTTCAACCACACAGGGTCCTAAATAGCCACTTGCAAGCTTATCTTGCACACGTGGAAACAAATATTGTAATTGCCACTGATGCTTCAGTGATAGACGAAACGGCAGGAGTATAGGTATTTACTCTCCTTCACTTGACTGGTCGTTTTCAGCAAGACTACCAGACTTCAAACCTATATTTTAAGCTGAACTTTTGGCAATTGTTCTAGCGCTACAAAAACCATCTTTGAACACCCACACTGCTATATTAATTACAGACTCCCTGTCCCTATGTAAGTAACTTAACAGCTTCATCTAAATCATATGCCTTAAGGGCCTTCTTTTCGCTTATTCCTCCACAGCTGAAGCTCTTAAAATTATTATGAG